ATCCGTGAGAGGGGCACACCGCGGACGTGAGGGGGTCACACTCCGGAGACGGGTGCCGGGCGTTTGCAACCGCCACAAAACTTATGTCGGCATAGCTGTTTTTGATTTTAATAAAATATAAAGACCTATATTCAAAAGAACATGACAACACATTGTTAACATGCTCGAAAAAAATACAAACTACATATATATATATTCATAATCTATGGAAAAATACAAACCACATATATATTCATATAATACATAAAAAGCATAAAAACATATGTAATTTTTTTTTGTAAAAAACATGTAAATAAAAAACTATGCCGACGGCAAAGCTGTCGGCATAGAGACGACATGGTTTAGGTGTGCTGCGAGCCGCGGATCGCTGACGTGGCGTCTATGCCGACGGCCGCCGTTGGCATAGCTACGCCGCGGATCGGTGACGTGGCGTGTGGAGATATGCCGACGGCCGCCCGTCCCGACCATCGGCATAGTTTTGACGACGTTAGCCACTGGTCACGGGCGGGGTCGCCGGGCCCATCTGTATGCCGACGGCTGCTGTCGACGTGTCGGCAGCTGTACCGACGGCCGTTCTATACCGACGGCTGCCGTCGGCGTAGGTCAGGGTAGCCCGACGGCCAGGACTAGGCTGTCGGCATAGCTCTAAGTAGGCCGACGACAGTCGTCGGCATAGTTCTGACCGTCGGGTTAGGACCGTTTTCCCGTAGTGCTGGATCCACTAAGATATTTTTTTGACATATAACCAAGAAGCTGGATATTAAGTAAACTAGGGTATATATCTGTCTTCCAAGATGTATTATTTAGACATATAACTAGGACATTAAGTAAATTTTACTAGAAGGCACCTGCAATAACTAAGGTTTAGGATTTGTATTCCGGTGCATAAATGTGATGCGGGCTCATGTGCCGCCGAGATTAGGTCGTCGCGTCCAAAATATGGATCGCTAACGACCGAGATTAAGGCAGGTTTGGTTATGATACGACTTGGGCTATACGTCAGCTAACTGTAATCGCGCACTCTGGGCTAAAGCCTTAAACCCTCGTCTCTCTCTACCCCATTGCCCCACCTTCCCTAGGGTTTTGCACCATGGCGTCGGCGTCGCGTGCGCTCCTCCTGTCGTGGCTCTCGCCACTCCCCGCCGCCGGCTCCCGCTTCCTCCGCCCGCTCGCCGCCGCGGGCAGCCTCCTCCCTGCGGTGCTGGTCCCATCCCCGGTCGCGGTTGCCAGGCGGTTCGCGACGCAGCCCGCGCACTCGTCGCTGCGGGACTCGTCCCCGAACTGGAGCAACCGCCCGCCCAAGGAGACAATCCTCCTCGACGGGTGCGACTTCGAGCACTGGCTCGTCGTCATGGAGCCGCCCCCAGGCGACGGCGCCAACCCCGACATCCCCCGCGACGAGATCATCGACAGCTACATCAAGACCCTCGCTCAGGTCGTCGGAAGGTATGGATCCCAGTACCACATTCCCCTCCCGCGCTGACGCAAGCCTCACATCCTCGAGGTTCTGGAGCCTAACCTCCAGCCCTCCACTTTGTGTGTACAGAGAAGTCAAAAGTATCGGTTTCTGCTAGCAGGGCTTTTCTGACCAGCATCTATTTGAGATTGTGCTAGTAGTTCCTGTCTATTATGTTCATTATTGACTATGGCAATCTGCTTATGACAGAATGGGAAATCCATTTAGCCGGTCTGTGTTAGTGAGGTCTCATTTTGATGTTATTGACTATGGGAATCTTATGACAGAATGGGAAGTTCATATTGTCAGTCTGTATTGCGAGGTCTCATTTTGATGCACAACTATATTTGGAAGTGTTTGGAAATTAGCGGGCAAGGAACTAGGTTGAAGATTGGTAGATGAAGTTTGGTTATTTTGTAGATTTATTACTTATGGAGGTGATTTATCGATTTGATGTGTTATGACCCGGAATTGTTGAGGCGCGATAAGTGTACCTTACCTAGCTGTTTTGTGTCACTTAATCATTTACATGATGATTTCTATGCATATTCATTTAGGAATCACACTCAATCATTTGTGTTGATGGTGATTCTGGCTTGAGGAGCATGCTTGGTGTCAGTTATTTGTATGTACATAGACGACTATCAGTGCACTAACTTCCTTGGACTATGTTGCAGTTTCACCATTTCTTAGTAATTTTGTTTGCCTCTTTGAACCATAACAACTCATTGCTTTGAGGAGAACAGAATAGAGTTCTCCTTGATGTCTTGGTTGTCTCCAGTGCTAACATGAAATGTGTTTCAAGTCATCTTTGTGCTTCATAATTAACATATCTGTATCTTGAATCTTTCCTATCTTCCAGTGAAGAAGAAGCAAGGATGAAGATCTACTCTGTGTCAACTCGGCATTATTTTGCTTTTGGAGCCCTAGTATCTGAGGAACTCTCCTATAAACTCAAAGGTATTGATCATTACATGAAATTTTTGGTATTGCAACTTTTTATGAAGGTGACTTCACATGGTCTTCGTGTAACCTCATGCCTCTAAATTTTTATCTCCAGAGTTGCCTAAGGTCCGCTGGGTCCTTCCTGATTCATATCTGGATGTCAGAAACAAGGACTACGGAGGTAAATGATTATGTGCTTCCTATCTTACTTGTCCACTATAATAATTTGAAATGGTTGCTGCTTACCCCCTGATTAGTTAATAGATTTACCACTCAGCTGCTATTTATTATGTTGTGTTATGAGCATCTATCTTAATTGCATGTTCCAGACCTAGGAATTTTGAGAATCCCTATATAATACTCCCTCCGTTCTTAAATATAGGTCTTTGCAGAGATTTCAACAAATGACTACATACAATTCCTAATATCTACGCTCTAAAATATGTATATATACATCTATATGTAGTAGTCCATTTGAAATCTCTAAAAAGATTTATATTTAGGAGGGAGTACTTCTGTTTGAGGTTGTAATTTTGTCTAGCACATGCTTTTAGGAATTGTATTTTTACTAAGTCTTAGAGCATGATTTACCTTCAGATTATTTTTCCATTTATTGATTAATGATCACTGTTGGTATCCAATTTGTGCTGCAATTCCTGTAGCATTTTGCATTATAGTTTAGCAGTAAACTATAGTAGTGGTGAACATCTTATCATTGGTATCATGTGGAAATTCAAATTTCTAGTATTTGAGTATACTCTTCGCTGCTCTCTGTATCTTCATTTCTACAATATGTAGTAAAGGATGTCACCAATACATATGATATCTATTCAATAACAAAAATGAAGATTGGTGACAACTTGATTAACTGATACGTAACTGGGAAGTTACGTTGGCCACTGTTACTAACCACAAACTTTTGTTTGTGATGAAACCTGCATATTACACAGTTCACTTAAAATTAATTAGGAGCTACTCCCTCCGTCCCATAATACAAAAACGTTTTTGAAGCTGAGTATATGACACTGAACCACTTCTCTAGTTGCTAGTGTTTGTTTAAAATATATATAGTCCTCCTAGTGGTATACGTTTTTGGCTGCAATCTGTCTCTCTTATTAACATATAAGTGTTTGTCGTTCTGTCTTGGCCTTTAAGCTCCTTGAGGTGGCAGCTTTAACATCTTAACCTGTTGCATTTCCTGGATGATTTGAGATTGTGCAACATATTCATTTTTCATCTTCTTCACATGGTAAAGATATCTTGGTATATCTGATGCCTTTTCTTGCATTTCGGGGGAACCATTTATTGATGGGCAAGCTGTTCCTTACGATCCCAAATACCATGAGGAATGGGTGATTAACAATCGTCGTGCTAATGAACCCCGGCACAAACGCGGCGACAGACCTCGTAACTTTGACAAGAGAAGGGAGAACACACATACCAAAGCAGGTCTGCTCCACCAAGTTACCAGTCTTCCCGACCATCAACCGAAGATCAGAACCAAATGCCACCCCGCGACACTTCTCCAATGCGCCCTGCACAAGGGCTGCCACCACCAAATTACTAGCCCCATGCAGCAAACCGACAATCAGGTTATGTTCCAGCAGGGGGACCAAACTATCAGAACACACCACACCCTGGATACCAAGGTGCCCCAACTCCTGGGTATCAAGCTGGTAACCAAGGTAACCATGGTGGCAACATGCACGGCGGTCCAAGCCCTGCCTATCTGAGCAACAACCCTGGATACCAGGGTGGAGGTCCAGGTGGCAATCCGTCGCCCCCTTCCCCAGATGGCAACAATCCTCCCTACCAAGGCGTTGGTCCTAGCTATGGTGGTGGTGCACAAGGATACCAAAACATAAGCTACCAGGAGGGCAGTGGCAACTACAACAATGCCGCACCACCGACCTATGAGGGCAGGGACGGGCCAGGGAGGCATTACCAATAGAGAACACTGCTAGAAGAGCACAGGGACGGGCCAGGGAGGCATTACCAATAGAGAGCACTGCTAGAAGAGCACCGCGTAGGAAGTTCGTACATGCTCTGCTCGTGTCTTGTACTCTCGTTTGTTGCTCACTTGCTCTCATGGACTTTTATGCATGTATACTATTCTCTCTCCCTATTGGTGTTTTGAGAACTAGAATTACTAGAAGCTTAGCTAAGTGCTCATTGTATTCCCACTTTGTCCAAATAAATATAATGCTGTGATGACTATGTTTTCGTATGTGCTCATTGTTTGTTCACTTTATATCGAAATAAACACAGTGCTGACTGCTGACTATGGTGCCAGAGCTGTTTTTTTAGACAAAAGCTGTGTTATTTGTTGATTGGCACATAAACACGTGAAAGGCTTAGATCCTAGGCCGAAATCGAATCGCATCGATCTTCTTTTGCGGCCCATTACACATGGAGGCCCATATCCCTAATACAACAGATCACACTCTTTACAGCCCAAGCCCAGTGAATGGAGATATTTCGGTGGCCGCAACGAAACACGGGCCCCTCTATAAATCGCACTCTCGCTGAAGCCTTAAACCCCCGTGGTCACTCCCCGTCCCATTTCCCCCATCCCCCATCCCCGCTAGGGTTTTCCACCATGGCGTCGGCGTCGCGCGCGCTCCTCCTCTCCAGGGCCTCGCCCCTCCACGCCGCCGCCTCCCGCTTCCTCCGCCCGGTCGCGGCCGCGGGGAGCCTCCTCCCGGCGGCGCTGGTCCCGTCCCCCGCCGCGGCGCCCTGGGCGGCGGCGAGGCGATTCGCGACGCAGCCCGCGAACTCGTCGCTGCGGGACTCGTCCCCGAACTGGAGCAACCGCCCGCCCAAGGAGACGATCCTCCTCGACGGCTGCGACTTCGAGCACTGGCTCGTCGTCATGGAGCCGCCCCCAGGCGACGGCGCCAACCCCGACGTCACCCGCGACGAGATCATCGACGGGTACATCAAGACCCTCGCCCAGGTCGTCGGAAGGTATGGCTCCCCGTGCCACATCCCCCTCCCGCACTGACGCGCTCCTCGCATCAGGGTAGTTTTATGGTGCGTATGTTTGGATCTGGATTCTGTGGAGGGGATTCGGGGTGGGGAATGGCGAGCGTTGTTAAGGTAATGTAGTGGATGGTGTGCTAGCGTCTGTTGTGATACTAGCCTCCAATTTGTTTGTACAGAGATTGAAATTACCAGTTCCTGACCAGGGCTTTTTTAATTTATTATGCAGCAATAATGACCGCATGGATGTTTGAAATTGCTATGTTAGTTGAATAGAGACGACTGATGCTCTGATCACTGTTTTAGAGATCATGCTTGTTGTTCTTAGTCTTTTATATGCAATATTAACTATGGTAGTATGGTTATGACAGAGTGGGGATTCATTTGTATGGTCTATGTGGGTGGGGTATTGTTCTGATGCACCGACATGTTTCAGGGTGTTTGGAAATTAGTGGGTGTAGAGACTCAGTTAGAGAGGGGTCGTTGAAGTTTGGTTATTTTGTAGATTTACTGATGGAGGTATTTTTATCGATTTCATGGGTTATGAGTCGGAATTGGAGAAGTGTGATAATGTGTCCATTGTTCCTATCTCATTTTTGTGCAATTTTATCATTTTAATGCTCCTTTCACATTACTTGGGGATCATGCTTATTATCTGTTTTTGGTACCTAGACAACTGTGAGTTCACTAACTTTTTTGGTGGACATCTCTTGCAGTTTCACCGTTTCTTAGTATTTTTCTTTGCTTCTCTGAACCATAACAACTTATTGGTTTGATGATAATAGAACAGAATTCTCCATGATGTCTTGGTTGTCTTCAGTCTTAACATGAAGTGTGTTTTTAGTCATCCATGTGCTATTCATAACATATCTGTATCTTGGATCTTTCCTATGTTCCAGTGAAGACGAAGCAAGGATGAAGATCTACTCTGTGTCAACTAGGCATTATTTTGCTTTTGGTGCCCTAGTATCTGAGGAACTCTCCTACAAACTCAAAGGTATTGATCATTACATGAAAAGTCTTGTATGTGATCTTTTTATGAAGGTGACTTAAAATGATCTTGTGTTAAATGCCCCTAAATTATTGTTTTCAGAGTTGCCTAAAGTCCGTTGGGTTCTTCCTGATTCATACCTGGACGTCAGAAATAAGGACTATGGAGGTAATGATTATGTACTATCTGACTGAATATTGACTACAGTATAATAATTTTAAATGCCTGTTGCTCTTTCCCTGACTAGGTAATAGATTTACCACTCTGTGCTGCTACTATGATGTTGTGTTATGATTATCTTAATTGCATGTTCCAGATCTAGGAATTTTCAGAATCCCTATATAATACTTTTTCTAGATGTTGTAATTTCCTGTAGCACATGCATTTTAGGAATTGTATTTTTACTCAAAAGGTTAATATTGTTATCCTGTCAGAATATTTTTCCATTTATTAAACAATGATCATCATTGTTATCTTATTTGTTCTGCTGATTTGCTTCTGTATCCCGTTGATTTATAGTTAAGCATTTATCTGTTTAGTGATGAACATCTCATTGTTGTTATCGTGGAGTTTTCTAGTATTTGAGTTAAATCTTGACTGCTCTCTGTATCTTCATTCCTACAGTATATAGTAAAGGATGTAACCAGTATGTAAAATATCTTTTCAACTGAAAGAAATGGTGTTTGGTGACAACTTCGTTAATTTTTAATTGAATTTTGAGCTTATGTTGGCCCCTGTAACTTTTTGGTAACGCTACAAACTACAAACTTCTGTCATCTGATGAAACCTGAATATAACAGAGTACAACTCAAAATTGATATGAGAGCTATATGATAGCGCTTCTGTAGTTTCCAGCTTTTGTTTAAAGTATACATCGTCCTCCTAGAACTATATATCCTAGTACAGTATAAGATAAGGGCTATATCCTAAGATAAAAATGCAAATCTGTATGATTATCTAGCCTGTCGAGTGCTTTGAGCAAGACGATTTATAAAGTCAAGTGTTTGTCATTCTGTCCTGGCAATTTGAGCCCCTTGAGGTGGCAGTTTTTAACATTTTAACCTGCCGTTTCTTCCCTGGATTATTTGAGCTTGTGCACTTTTTCCAGTTTTCATCCGTGTCCATATGTAAGAGAGTGTATCTGATGCCTTGTATTTCAGGAGAACCATTTATAGATGGACAAGCTGTTCCTTACGACCCCAAATACCATGAGGAGTGGGTGAGAAACAATGCCCGTGCCAATGAAAGATCCCGGCGCAATGACAGGCCTCGCAACTTTGACAGGTCGAGGAACTTTGAAAGGAGAAGGGAGAACACACAGGCCTACCAGAGTGGGCCTCCAAACCAAATGCCACCCCATGATGCTGCTCCTCCAAGTCGTGGTGCACAGGGCCCGCCACCGCCTTCAGGTGCTCCACCAAATTACCAGCCCCATGCACCAAACCCACAGGCAGGCTATGCTGCAGGAGGTGGACCAAACTATCCAAATGCACCACCACCCCCTGGATACCGAGGTGCCCCAGCCCCTGGCTACCAAGCTGGTAACCAAGGTTACCAGGGTAATCCTGGTGGCAACATGCACAATGGACCAGGCCCAGCCTACCATAGCAACAACCCTGGATACCAGGGTGGAGTGCCAGGAGGCAACCCGCCGCCACCTTTCGCAGGTGGCAACCAGCCTCCTCCCTACCATGGCGGTGGTCCTAGCTATGGTGGTGGTGCACCAGACTACCAGGGCCAACCAGGTGGTAACCCAGGCTACCAAGGTGGCGGTAACTACAGCAACGCCGCCCCTCCTCCCTATGAGGGCAGGGACGGGCCAGGGAGGAACTACCAGTAGAGAAGACTGGTAGAAGAGCGCTGTGTAGGAAGTTAGTAAGAGCTATGCTCGAGTCGCCCTATGTTGTTCTCGTGGACTTTTATGCATATATTCTCTATCCATCATGGTGTTTTGAGAACTAGAACTACTGCAAGCTTAGGTAAGAAGTGCTTTGTTTTTTTCTCTTTGTCGAAATAAATACAATGCTGACTATCGTATGGAACCAGAGCTTTGTTATTTGTTGCCGTATTGTAATAGCAACATGTTCTGTGTGTTCTATTGAATCACTTTTATATTCTGTCTGTGTACAAATGTGTTTGGAGCTCATTTTTGCGTTTTAAGTGCATGCATATTCATTCCATCTGTAGAGACCAATTTGTTTCCGCATGGACCCAGTTTCTCTTTTACCAAGTAGTCTGTGGCTTCTCCTCAAATCAAAGTGTCATCTATGATTTGCCGTTTCCCCCTGCTCCAGTGATTTGTGTCACTTTTGAGGGATTTGAGCTTTCTTCAGGATTTGGCCCAACTGTTTGTCACTCTCACGCGCACCAGTTTGCCACTTTGTTCTGATTTCAGCAAACAGTCAAAGCTGTAGTGCGACCTGCAGTTATGTGGGAGCTGTAGCGGTCGTGATTCCGAGATCCTGGTAGCATGTTTAGAAAGTAAAGAAACTAGGAAGTTCTTTGATTCAAGTGAAGCAAATTGTCCAGACGAAATTTCATGCAGAATATGGGTATGGCCAATGTTGGTACAACATTTCAATTTCGGTACAAGAGAGGAAGTACGATCGTCCAGAATCCTTTTACATGTAGAAATTTTCGACTCTGAACAGACATAATAGTAGTACTGATAAGCAAATTCTGATAAACACCCCATTTCAATTCCGTGGCTTGAGTATCTACATCCAAACAGAGCCTATGTCTGTATGCTTTCCAGTGCAATCGTTGCAAAGCTCCAATCACTGCATCAACCTCATACATGAACACCGAAATATCACCACAACCGTTGGAACATGTTTGTTAACAAAGGCAGAAGAAACATTTATGCTTAAACTGTTAAACATGACAGGATGGCCAGACAAATATTCTTTGGTGTACGCAATTGCAGGAGAAGAGGAAGTTGTGAGGGGAACTAAGCAATCCCACTCTACATAACCTCTAGGGTCAGGAAAAGATCATAAGTCCTGTTACTTTCCACATTTATGTCTGAAACGGATAAATAGAACTTCTTTACATTGAAGTAATATGAGTATTCTTGGTAGGGGCAGCAGATTTATCTAGGATAAAAAAATGATAAGTGCAAAGAAACTATAACCATACATAAATCTAAAAAAGGAACAAAAAAAAAACCTGTGGCAACATCACAGCTGTCGAGACTCACTTTCATCTATAAAGAGACATCAAGAGAAGTACACAGAATGGTTACAAACTGATAACTATCTCAAGCCAACAAGTAAAATACGTGAAGAATGAGTAGCAGGCTAGCAGCACCAAGGTTCAAGCTAACATGGCCTTCTCCTCTTTTATATATCATTGAAAGCTCTAACCACACTTGCTGAAAGTCAAAAAACCTTGTGACGTGCAGCCTACATCACAAGGCTACGCCTGAGCATTCAAATAACACCGTACACCTCCACAAGATATTATTATTTTTTCACAATGAACACAAGATATTAGTTTTAATCATTTGTATGCGGCGTTATTAAAGTAAGACAAATATCATAGTGTCTTATATGTCATGTGTATGTCACCCATCAGACAAAGCAGGGGAGGCAACATTTCTACAAGATTCTGAAGTCACTTCTTTACTGAGTTCACTCGAGTGAATTGCAGAAAACCACCACATTGAAGCATAGATTTGCAGAAAAGACTGGTTTACGAATTTCTGCCATAAACCACTGATTCTTGGCCTAATCTTTTGCAACAAACACTACACTAGTGCAGAACCGGGCAATAGCACCGGTTCGTAAGGTCCTTTAGTGCCGGTTCGGTAACCGGCACTAAAGCCCCCCCCCCCTTTAGTACCGGTTTAGCACGAACCGGTGCTAAAGGGCAACCACGTGGCACGAGCCAGCTCTGGGGGCAGGGAGCCCTTTAGTACCGGTTTGTGACACCAACCGGTATTAAAAGGCTGGGGGGTTTTGGGTTTATGATTTCTTTTTCATTTAATTTTGTGTTTTCCATTTAATTCTTTTTTGTTTGCTGATATTTTACGACACTACATATTGTACACGTTATGCATATATATAAATAGAATTCTTAGTAGAACCGATCATACACACACACACACACACACAATTAGCTAGCTATATACAATTTCTCCTAATTGGTGCCTTCGGACCAATGACATTAGCCTAATTGGTGCCTTCGGAGCACGATAACAATTGGAAGTGGTTCATGGGGGCGGTAGCGGGTAAAAGTATTCTCCTTTGGGATTTATGACCCGGTCGAGCAAAAATCCCGCTATTTCCTCTTGAATTGCTTCTATGCGGTCCTCTAGTAGGAGGTTCCGTCGCACCTTTTTGAACTGTTAAGAAGGATATCAATATGCATGTGTATTATTTGTGTGACTAGATATCGATAATGGTGTAAAAATTGTGAATAGTGTTCTGACAAACGTACCTACTCCTGTCTTTGAGATCTGCTCCTTTCGGACGCCATCATGCGAATGTTCTCGCAAACGTAGTATGCACACAGATTATTCCCCGGCGCCTGCTTCAGGGCCTTTACGAGAATGGAATTTGATCAGATAATAATTAATCAAGCATGATAATTAAAGAGATGGCAGCTAGCTAGTACTACTTAATTACTTACCATGGGTCGATACCATTTCAGATTTCGTTTCCATTGGCCTGGAGTGAAGCTGATGAACTTTGCCCAAGCCCTGCCCGCCGACAAAGAAAATGAATAAATGGGTTATTAAATAGTTGTTATCAGGAAATGATGAACTAATTAAATAGGCCGAGATATAGTTAATAATGATTGAAATTACCTGTTGACTATCCCCTTCACGATGGTGTAGTCAGTTGGTTTCTTAAGTAGTGAGTCTAGTACTTCAACTGTTCCTTCATCAACTTTAATGATTAACAAGATCCAGTGAAATCTGCATGCACACACGTTTGCATGTCTTAATTAAGCGGGCATATGTAAGCAAAAACATGTAGCTAGCTAGTAGGCAAAAACAGAATTTGTAGTACAAGACAGTGTGACTCACTCGAAGTTGTAAGGAAGTAGTATATCTTCATTGTATTTGAGGCGCTTGAAGAACTCTAGCATGCTTTCCTCTATACTTTTTTCGTAATATGGATCTAATTTCCATGTGTATTCATTAATGGTATTTGGGTCAACGAACCCAATGCCATAACGTCCACCTTTTTTCATTTCATAAATCTTCCTCCTGCATAATACCACAGAAAAGAATATAGTGAGGATAATTACATGTAATGATTGATCAAAATGATCACTACAGCTAGCTTGAGACTTAAATTACAGAAAGAAATCACTTACAGACAATAGCAACTGACGATAGATTTGTCGAGTGCATCTTGATTGTATAACTGAAATAGTTCTGAATACTCAACGGACACAACTTTCTCATGGTAGTAATGATCCTTCTTGACATTCACCATGAGGGACTCTCGATTGGAATTCTTGGTAATGTCCATGTACCATTGATGCAATTCATACATTCTCGTTGGGAGCTTCTTGACCTCGTCTGGCTCGACCAAAGGTTGGCCCCGGACATATTTTCGTTTTATTTCCTCCTCTCTAGTCGGAGACATGGGCTCGATATCGAGGAGTTGTCCAACAGTGATCTTGAGCATTTCAGCCTGCTCAATATGCTCCTCGGTTATTACCACATCGCCCAGCTCGGGAACGTAAACGGTTTTCCCACAATAATATTGGGCGCGCCTACTCTCATG